GCAAAACACAAAGCGAGTCAGCCATAAGGCTAGAAACGCTATGTGTTCGACATCCGACACAGCATCTGTCGACCTGTCGTGATAATGGTTGATGAAAGTGGTGTATGTTGGTTTGGTCTCAGAGAAGCCAATTTGGTCCTCCGACATCTCCTCCGGATCGAAGTAATCCCCGGTTGGTCGAAGGCCAGTAATAGCGGCCACATCGAAGAGTGTGGGGGTTAGCATCCCACATGGAAGATGAAAAGTAAAATGGGAGTAGTCCCAGAACAACAGTGAAGCTATCAGCATCTCCGGGGAGTAGTTCAAACCCGTCTTCGACAGCATCACTAGGTCGAAGATTCCCATATCCTTCCAGATCGAAGTTTGGTGCTTCTCCAACTTTGTTAGCCAAGCAACATAATCGGAGGTAAGGTTAGGGCAAGACCTGAAGACCCTAACACCTCTGTTGAAGAAGCGGAGGTCGATTTTTTCACGTGCAGGGTCTTCATTGTCTTCTGCGTCTTTCTTGGCGCATGCGACTTGTTTGAGTTTCTCGACTATCGGGAAATAGCTCTTGATCTTCAGAGCCTCAGAGATACTTGGATTCATGGGGCCAGACATTGCAAAGATCTGGTTGGAGTATCCAACCGGGATCATCAAGTGGCGCGAGTAAGCATCGCGAACGGCGATGTCAGAAGGTTCAGGAACCCTTCGTTTGCCTGTAGAATTTACTACCGGAGCAGTGACGAAAACCTTGGGTTTAACATGTTCAGTTGGTGCGTTAGCACTAGGAGCAGTAGAACCAGAGGCCATGGTTTGGTGTTGAGTTTGGAATGAGGTTGAAGATGAAGTGAAAGAGGAAGAGTTTCTGCAAAGATAACAAGCTTGTATGAAAACAGGGAAGTTTGAAGGCTAGATGGCGTAAAAAGTCCCACAATGGGGTACTTACTACTATTTATAGTAGTGGGAAAAATCCCCAATAACGAGGACATTAAATGCCATTTAATGCTGCAGGAGTTAGTGGGACGCGTGGCAGCCCCCTGTTGTTTTGGCCGTTTCTGCAGAAATAGAAGGACGCAGCGTGCGTCCTCGTTTTTGGGAATTGTCATAATGACAAATTCTGAAATGACGTTTGGTACTGCACGCCGTACTGAAAGTGACGTCCTAGGATCAAATCAATGATGGTTTTCTTGGGATTGCCAATAGTTGGTAAAAAGCAACAAAAAGTGCACAAGTTAATTTGTGACTAAGCGTGGAAAGACAGGTGTCGAATGGCGTTTCAAAGAATGCCTTTTTCTTTCAGAGTCGAAATAAGGCATTCTTGGGGGGCAATTTGTTGGCTCCTAAATTCGACACCTTTGTTTTGATTGATGTCAGCCATTAAAGCTGAAAGATGTCTTCGACTGGTTAAGTCTGTCGAAGTGCCCGTCGAAAGATGGCAAAGTACTTAGAAGATTTCTTCCAAGGAAGAAGGCTGGTTGCCTTCGACGTCGAAGGAGTTTTTCGTCGAAGATGTCTCTTGACGAAAGTGTTCGACGGTTCAGGGTGAAGCAGTTTGAAATTCAAAGCTTTTGGAGGGAAAACGGTTTCCAGCAGTTACTACGTGCAAACGTGCAAGGATCTGGAGCGTCGAGCATGGAGAACGTGCCAAGTGGATTGATCTCGAAGCAGTGTAACTGCCCGACGGTTACTTGGGATGTTTTAGTATAAATAGGAGTAGACATGTAGTTTCTCGCGTGTGTTCACAATTCTATACAAAGTCACTCATATAGATTCGAGTACCCAGCGTGTGAGAAAGAATTGTTGAGAAATGTATGTGTGAAACACCAATTTTATCAATTAAAGTCATTTACTTTTCCAGAAATTTACTTGCTTTCTCCTTTACATTCTTGTCGAACCTTTTACTTTAAAGCCTTGTTTATTTTACCAAGTCTTTCCTTTATGCAATTCATTTAAAGCTAATTTATTTAAAGCCTTATCCAATTCAATCAAACTTCAAAATCAACCTATGTCCTAGGATCAATCTGATCGATCCTGCGAGTAACCAAATAAGTAACCATTTGGAGGATCAGCGGTTGTTTACCAAAACCCAAGGTAAACAGTAAGCAACCCTATCTTTGGATGTAAACGGGACAGGCGTGGGTCATCGTATAATCATGATTAGCAATATTGCAAAGTATCTTAGTATTTTCGAGGGACTAAGATCATTTTGTAAGGCAACTTTGAATAGCGTCATCGAGGGACTATGATCTTTTGATTTTGTTTGTTTTACCAAGATACTTTGCATGCGTAACATGGCTATTTTTGTATAAGGCAACCAAGTGGAGAAACCCTAAGGGTGATTTTTCCTGAAAAATGAGAGGGCAAATTTTGGGGTACAACAGCTGGTATTAGTACATTCCGCCAAGATGCGCTCGCGGGAAGTTGTCAACAGAGTGTATTCAGCGAATCTCCCTGCGGGTCCCCTGTGCTCGCGGGGATCTCGTGGTTTATCATCCCTCCTCTTCTCGCCCGTTTGTCGAGGAGGGATTGCGTCCTGGTGTCGCAAAGTGTTGGTCAATCCGCGATTCCTTGGGTCGCGGGCTCTGTTGGCCGCTTCCCTATCCTCGTAGTCCATATAGGTCCTAACTTTCTCGAGGAGAGCATCGAAAGTCCGGGGTGGTTCGATGCCAACGGCCTTCCTGAACTCTGTGCTTGGAAGGAGTCCTCTTTTCGAGCAAATATCTCTTCATGTGATTGGTGCACATGACCTGAATGGCCTAGCGGCGGAACCGATCAATAAACTCCCTGAGGGTTTCGTCGCTTCTTTGGACGGTAGCCTCAAGGGCGACCTCGGTCTTCGGGTGTCGACGAGACGCTGTAAAGGAGCTGATGAACTGGTTCTTCAGGTTCCTCCAAGAGGTCATCAACCCCAGGGGAGATTTTTATACCAGTCAATTGTAGTTTTTCTCAAGGTCTTGGGGAACAACCGACACTTGATTGGCCCCATAACGTTATGATAATTGAGCATTGCTTCAAATCTGTTGATATGGTCGACTGGGTCAACAATGCCATCATACTCCTTCAGTTGGAGAGGCTTTTCCATGCCCCTGGGAATGAGCGCCTCCATGATTGCATGCGACAAGGGATCGTGGGGGTCGTCTTCGTCGCTCCTGTAGGGGGGATGGGAAGGAGACCGATTGTAGTGGCGGTCATAGCGATGTCCTTGGTCTCGGGGGTGGTGCCTTGGTCGAGGATCCGTTTCTATGTTGCCCCTGTTTCTATTTTCAGGGGATCATTGTTTCCTGTGCGGGGGGTCTGGCCGCGTCTCCCGGTAGCCTCGGGCATGGTTCTCTCCAGTGCGGGGTGTCAGTCAGTCCATCAGGGAGAGAGGCTCTGCGACCTATCCCGTCTGTGTCTCTTCGAGGGAGATTGAAGATGGTCTTCATCTTGACGAGGAGGTGGAGTGTGAGATCTTCTATATCTTCTGGGGGCTCGACGAGAGTCTTCGAGCACCCTTAATCGCACTCCTTGCGAGAAGATCATGTGATTCGTCTGGTTGATGGCTGCGAACAGGGCCCTTGTCGTGGCATCAGCGCCCGGAGGGACGATGACCTGTTGGAAAGCGTTTGGCTCATAGGTCTGGGGCGGATGGGTGCCCTCGTGTGGTCGAGAGCGTGATGAGGAAGAGGCAAACATGCCGTCCCTATAATTCTGCATGAGACCAACCATGTCGCTGTCGTTTCCGTGTTGTTGTTGCCCATGTTGTCGACGACGTTGTTGTTGGGGTCGGTGAGATGGGTGTCTAAGTTGTTGTTGTTGGCAACTGGGTCGGTCATGACAATCAAGAATTTTGAGTTGCTTTTGTCTTAGGTAAATGAAAGACGGGGAAGCTAGATTTCCACAGACGACACCACTGATCGTACCTGACCAGAATGGACCGTCACAGCTTACGTCGAGCAGAAGTTGAAAGTGAGGTAAGAGGGTACCTGCAAGACACTTCGTTGTCAAAGTGAGATTGAGAATGATGCAAGCAAGTAAGAGTGAGTAAGAAATAACCAATCCCTGACCCTCTCAAGTGAGAGGGTATTTATAGTCCCCCAGCGCTGGGCCAAGGTCCCCTCATTGGGCTGGGCAAGCCGACTCAAAATGGAGACTTTCAGGTTCTACGTGAGTAGTGGGGACCAGCACGTGGTCCTCTACCTGGATGAATTCCTCCGCATGACCAGAAGGATATGGATGCAGTCTTTTCGGGGTCAAGTGGACTCCATGATATTCAGAGGCGTTGATAGTCAGCCCTACGAGGAGGATGTCAGTGAGATACTTCTGCCTGTCGCGCAGGATCCCCGCCAGCCATGAAACCTATGAGATGATCGGTCTTGCTCAAGGAGAAGCCTGAAGGATACTCTCGAGGTCTTCTTGCCCGATGATGCTCCTTCTCGCATCTTCCTGAATTCATCCCCATGTGACGAAGCAATATCCTCTCGAAGAGTGAGAATTATTGCTCGACACAGTCGAGAGCATATTCGATCAGCTGAACAACATAGTTGGGTTGAACCTCACTTAAACTTGGGTCAAGAGCAGACCCAATCCGAAATATATATATTTCAAAATTATGTTTTTCTCAAAAATTTCAAAATCCTACATTATAATAAATTATTGAACATTTTATATATTTAATCTATATACCAACCAGATACATCATTATCAATTCTATATAATAGAAGAAAATTTAAATATAATTTCTTAGCTATAATTATTTTTAATAAAAATACGACCAACGTTATCTATTATACAAGTGGTCCAATCTATAAATTTTTATTTTATTTTATAATATGATAAAACAGTATGCTTTGAATAAATTTAATATAATATGAATAATAACCGACCAGGAATCCAAGTGTATATTTAACTATTAATAAGGCTTGAGTTCAATGAATAAACCAAAACTTAGATTTTCGAGATTCACATTCATTTCGTCGCTAGAGTGAGTAGTTGTAGGAAAAAAAAAAAAACCTAACCTCACCAAAACGACGACAAAAATGGCCGTTTCAAGCCTCCACCGCGTCTTCACCTTCGAGTGCCGCTCCGATCCCGACTTCGCCTCCCTCCCCTCCACCGAAAACCTCCGCAGCACCCCTCGCCATTTCCCCGCCGCCTCTCTCTCCTCCGCCTTCTACGGCGTCTCATCTCCCATCCTCCGTTTTCCCCCAAACTTTCAGCGTCAGCTAAGTACCAAAGCTCGCCGTAATTGCAGCAACATCGGTGTCGCGCAAATCGTCGCTGCTTCGTGGTCTAATGAAGGTGCCGGCAGCCCCGCCTCTGGGGCGAATCCGGTGCCGGCCGTTGCGTCACCTGTTGATGCTGCGACGGCGCCGATCCCCTTGGACCTCGACGCCGATGACGAGAATGTTGTCGATGCCGCGGGAAATGGGGCTGTACAGACTAACCGTAGATCTTATTCTTCGTTTTTGAAAACCGATGCAAGCAAAACGATTCATGCCGGTATGCGATTTTTTGGATTTGATTCTGTTGATTAATTACTTGTTATTCGAATGAGTTTCCTTGATTGGGGTTTGATAAGATTTAATCCTGTAAAATTTCCATTTTCTCCCATAATTAGGGTTTGATAAGATTTAATCCTGTAAAATATTATTTTTTTCCATGATTAGGGTTTGATAAGATTTAATCCTTAAAATTTTTCATTTTTTTCCCATGATTAGGTTTGATAAGATTTAGTCCTGTAAATTTTTTTTTTGAGTTTAGTAATACCCAGTTTTAAATACTATTTATTATGAAACTATATGGTTTTAATCTCTTTAGGAACTTAAAATCATTTTTGATCTTATATTTTAATTGGATGTGACTTGTTTTGCTTGTAATTGTTTTTGGATTTTATGTGTTTTGTTGAGATTTAGATTTTGTTTCTTATGATTTTTGTTTGAATGAAGTAGGTTTCATTTGTTTGTAAGTTATTGTTATTGTTAGTGGTTTTGTTTTTGCCAAGTTGATTGATTAGTTTTTGTGTTTGTGTTACTATGCAGCTGAAAGACTTGGTAGGGCTATTGTGACTGATGCAATTACCACTCCTGTGGTGAACACTTCTGCCTACTTTTTCAAGAAGACTGCCGATCTTATTGATTATAAGGTATTGTTTGTTGGATTGTTTCGACTTTACTTGCTCATTGAATATGTGGCATGAAGATGCGGCTCCTCCTTTGTCTTATATTATGTTCATTCATTCACTTCTGTTTTCTCAAACAAATATCTATGTATGTGTTAGTGTTGTGTCTGTTTATGTATAGTGGGGATAAATTTTCCTCATTTTGCAGGAGAAACGTCTGGCTAGTTATGAATATGGGCGCTATGGAAATCCGACCAGTACTGTTTTAGAGGAGAAATTGAGGTTTCTTTGTTCGATATCATTATTATTATGATACTGTAATGTTTGAAGTGGTTGTGACGTTGAATTTAATGTGGTTTGTTGTCATTATTGAACCAGTGAACTGGAAGGGGCTGAGTCAACTGTCTTATTGGCATCTGGAATGTGTGCTAGCATTGTTATGCTCATGGCGCTGATTCCAGCCGGTGGACATCTTGTGACTACAACTGATTGTTACAGGAAGACTAGGGTGTTTATAGAGACTGTGCTTCCTAAGATGGGGATCACGGTATACATATGATTCCACTGAGTCGTTGTTTTTGAATTTACTTTGTTGTATGGCGCTTGAAAGTTGATGCTGTTATTATTTTATGCTGTGTTTTTTAGGTAACTAGTGCAAATTGTTTTTATTGGAAGCATGGTTGTTTACTTTTTTTGGTCCAGAAAGTTTGTTTTTCAAATCCATAGTTTTCTCCAACTACTCTTTCCGGGATTTTATTTCTGTAGTGAAATAGAAACTGCTTTGAAAGTGAATGCTTGGTAGAAACACTTAATCTATATGTCACATTTGAAATGTATATCTCTAATATATAGAGTGTTGCAGATGTGTTTTATGCTTCCTTTCTAAACCGATCACTTACTGTTAGATTTGTTACAGTGTATAAACTAACAACATTTTACTGAGCAGGCCTCTGTGATTGATCCTGCTGATGTTGGAGCCTTGGAATCTGCATTGGAGCAGAACAAGGTTAGTGTTAGAGAGCGGAATTTGTTTCCTTTTTTGCATTGTTAGTTTTTCAAATTATTAGATAGTGTAGAATTTTGATGGTATTATATTAATGTGCAGGTGTCTCTATTCTTCACTGAGTCTCCTACCAATCCATTCCTGAGATGTGTTGACATTAAGCTGGTTTCAGAGCTCTGCCACAAGCATGGGGCTTTGCTCTGCATTGATGGTACATTTGCAACACCTTTGAACCAGAAGGCAATTGCCCTTGGTGCTGATTTGGTTATGCACTCTTGTACAAAGTACATTGGTGGACATCATGATGTAAGTCAATCTGTTGTCCTGTTCTTTAAACTATATTTGATATAACCACACAAGTATTTTACATGTCAGGTATTCATAGTTTCGAACTTAAAAGTGCTTCTTTCTGGTTCAGGTCATTGGTGGTTGCATAAGTGGCTCTGGTAAGCTGATTTCAGAAATTCGTATTTTGCATCATATTTTGGGCGGTGTTCTTAACCCGGTTAGTCATTTCTACAAGCCCGATTCTCTGATTGATGCCTGTTGCAACAAATGTATTTTCCATGGAAGAATACTATTATTGATTATTGTGACTGACATTGTGCGATTTTGTTTGCAGAATGCCGCATACCTATTCATCAGAGGCATGAAAACACTGCATCTTCGTGTACAGCAGCAGAATTCAACTGGAATGGGGATGGCCAAATTTTTAGAGGCACATCCCAAGGTAACGTGACATTACTATGATATTTTGTAGTTAGTTAATTTGGTTTTTTAATCGTGGCAAAATTTCATATGAAAGTTTTTGAAATGAAATTGTTCTTCTGTCTTTAACAACATAATATTATTTGCAGGTGAAGCGTGTCTACTATCCAGGCTTGCCAAGTCATCCTGAACATGAGCTTGCCATGAGGCAGATGACTGGTTTTGGGGGCGTAGTAAGTTTTGAGGTGGGAATTGCTATTCAAATATGTAGTTGCCAGCCATAGTGCTTTTTGTATTTACATAGTTGGTGTTGTTATTTGCATATTTTGATGATATCTTTTTGACCAATAATGCAGATCGATGGAGATATAGAAACCACAATAAAATTTGTTGATTCACTGAAAATCCCATATATTGCTCCCTCTTTTGGTGGCTGTGAGAGCATTGTGGACCAACCGGCCATTATGTCTTACTGGTACTGATCCGCATTTGTTGTTTATGTTGTCATGATAATGATTCGACAATGCATATCATGTGCGATGGTCCTATTTGAATGTGACCCTATAATCTTTTCTTAGTTGGACCTTTTTAGCCGTGTTCATTATTTTTGTATTTTGCAACAGGGATCTTCCTGCATCTGAAAGGGCGAAGTGGAAAATTTATGACAATTTGGTTCGCTTCAGTTTTGGAATTGAAGATTTTGAGGATTTGAAGGCTGATATTGTGCAGGCACTGGAAGTCATATAGGCAGTACTAGTATTCATTATTCACCGCAAGCTTATTTCCTTTTCTCGTTTATTTAATCGTGTTTGGTTCCTGTATGTGCGGTGTGCAACTGCGGATATTAATCAGTTTCTAGTGAGTTGAGGGTGTTGTTTGTTCTTTCTTGTTTGTTTGGTGAACCTAGTGAATTATGATTGCCTGATGAAATCTGTTGAGTTTGTTTAATAAAAATGGCCTCTGATTTGAATCCCGAGACCTATTGACGATGCTGAAGTGATGAAAACGAGGTATCCGAACATTAATCTAATAGTCTTCCTCTTAATCTAGTAAACTTGAGATAAATTAAGTTGGTTCATGTTAACTGTGCATGACTAAATTTTGGCCAGGAAACTTCAAATGATAGTTTAATTATTTTTACATGTAAACAATTAAATTTGTGTGAAGTTTAGGCGAAAAGATGAAGTTTTGTTTTTTGTTGTGATTTTAGAATTTGTAACATTTAGGGAGTACAAAGCAAGATCAGGCCGAAACAACAAATTTAGATACATAAGAAAAAAATTAAAATGAATTTTTTTAGAATTTTAGTACAATAAAAATTATAGGTTTCTTTTAACTTCATTAATTTTTACAATATTAAACACCACAAATATTCAATACCATCACATAGTTGATTATTATCTCACTAAATGGACAAATAACAAAATTAATGTCTAGAATTTGGATTATGTTATAAAATAAAGAGAAAGAAGAGAGAAAGATGCAACCTTGGATGTTGGTGGAAAAAAATATAATATTTTTTGAGAGAGAAATGACTCGTTAAAATTTTTATATGAAAATTCAGTGGAACAAAATTACGATGAAGAAAAAGAAGAGTGCAGAACATATTTATTTCTCTCCCTCATGCATACATTTATATGTGAGACAATATTCTTTGCAGTAGTTGTTTAAAAGTTCTTCTTGGAAGTGATTTCATGTAGTGTTAATAGTTATAAAGGATTTGATGTTGTTGCAATGAGTTAGTCTCCATGAAATAGTTGTACCTCCACAAGTAAATAAGTGACATATTTGTGATATACTTATAAGGATCGGATAAGTAACATAAATCTCTACGGTAACAAAGTAGTTGTCTGACTTTGTTTCAACTTCTTTGTGTAAGTGAAGAAATATATATTTTTAATAGATTGATAGAAATTGATATATTATGGCATATATACTTAGCAAGATACACCAGTGTTTGAATTACACTAAGATATGATACTTCTAAAACAAGTAGTTTTCCTCATCTTCTCGAGGTCGGAAAGAGTTTTATTTAAATTCAATGGTCTAACATCATAGGGGTAGACAATATTTGTCCATATACAAACGTTTTAACACTTTTTCTATATAAGGTTCTTAATGTAGAATATTCTATTATCCAAATGCTTAATTTGTAAACAGAGATAGAACTTTGTCTTTTGTATGTCTTTTATCTCAGACCGTTTCTTTAAGAGATTTATAAATTTTAGAATCTCTTCAAGAATTCCAATAATTTTATGTCATCCGCATATATAATTATTATAGAAAATAATTTTCTAGACCCTTTTCATAAAAATACAATGACATGTATTTATTTGTATATCTCTTCCTTTGCAAATATCTGTTGAGACAACTGTTCAGTTTGATGGAGTATCTTTCTCGAGATCGAAAATGATCTATATATGAGATATTAAATCCTTTAGAGGGTTTCAGTAAATGTCATTACCAAGTGAGTCGTTTTAGTAAGATGTCACAACATCCATCATGTTTAAATTAAGCCCTTCATGTGTTACAAGGCTATTAAAATTTGAAAACTAATTAAATCCACTACAGGTGGATATGTTTCATCAAAGTCAATCTTAGGTCTTTGTGAAAATCATTGAGTCACAAATCAAGCTTTATATTCTTATTTTGCTTTTTCACAAAAAACTCATTTATATTCAATTGGTTTCACACCTCGAGGTGTTTGGACTACACGTCCAAAAGCGAGTCTCTTATAAAGTGAGTTTAATTCTTCTTCATTTTGATCTGTTTATTTTGGTTAACTCTCACTTTTTCTATAATCTTTGATAGAATTTGATTCACGATCCTCGTTATCATTTATTATATGTAACACTATATTTCATCCAAAGATATTGTCAATATTGACTTTATTTTGGTTCCATCATATTCTATTTATGGCATAATTTATCGAGATCTTTTTATTTCATAAATTTCAGGTACTCCTGGTTAGTTCTTATGGAACTAAAAATAAATTATATCAAAATGTTCTTAGAATTTTCATATCATCACTTGGGTCATCTTTAATTTTACCTTATTTGCTTGGTAGAGGATTATTAATATTGAAACCAACTTTTCTACCATGCTTCATGCAAGGTTTAAATTCATTTGCACTATTAAATAATCCAACAGGAATATCCACTTCGATTGTAGTATTGGCAGCTATAATTGATTGTATAAAATTTGCAAATGAATAATCTTTTGAACTTCTGGTTTATATTGATTTGTACGAGGATCAAGATCTAAAATTGTTCGTTTGAAATTCTTGTTCATGATTTCAGCTGCGTATTCCCTCCCTCTAATATTGAGAAAATTAATTTATCAAGTGATAATCAACCTACTGGGCTGCAATCAAGTATTTGATTATTTTATCAAATTATATCTTCAAAATTGGGATTCATATCAAATATATTTTTCTAATATTCTTTTAAGACTCGGCTTAGTGTGTTATATTAGAGCAATTGGAAAATGCACAACACATTCAAGGAAGGAGAAATGTATTACACGGTGTTGGCTTGATACGAATAAATTTCTTAATACCGTACTTTGGGTATTTCAAATATATAATTTAGAATTGATGATTTTATAAGTATCAACCATATAATTAACTTTAGACGTCTAAAGAATGAATCTTCAAGTCTATTTTTTATATGAACATATATTACATGATGTTCAATATCAATTTTAATAATATATGTGATACCAATTCAGGAATTTCTAAAAAATTCAGAAAATAAGATCTTAGTCTAATTAGTTGAGAAAATAATTTCACAAATGTCTGGTTGTGAATAGACATATGTATGAGTTTTAGTCAATGCAACAATTAATGTCATAAAAACTCAATTTCTCAAAATTTTCTTTAGAAACACACAAATTTCATTGGATTGAAGAAACTTCTGGTTCTTCAAAACTAATTATCGCACCATAATACATTTGAGATGACTCAACCAATTTTGCCAACAATACACTTAAATGTGATCTGTAAACTTTTGGTTTACAGTAATACGCATTATATTTCTAATTTGTTTCAATCCATAGTAAATAATAAAATTATTTATATAAATATATTTTTAAAAATAGATGGCATATAATTTAATTACAATTATGACGTCTAAATCAAATAAAATTAATAATATTCAATTTTGAAACAAGTATTTATCAATCTTAATAAATTTACAATCGAAAATATTTTTTTCCTACTTATATATATCGTAAAAACTTAATACCGAAATAAAAAAATCAAAAATAAAATTATCAAATAGAATAAATTATTATATTGGAGAGAATGAAATCACTATTAAATTTTAAATATTATCAAAAATATTTTTTTAATAGTTATTAGATTTTAATTAAAAAAATCTTCAAGAACTCAGCAACATTTTTTTTATTTTAATTTTTGAAGTTCCTCTGGAACTCAATTACAATTTTTTTATGCAGTTCTTCGGAAACTCAATCACAAATATTTTATTAATAAAAATAAAAATATTTGCAATATTGTTCGATCCTTCGAGGATGTTTTCGTACGTTATTCAGGAACAATATAAATTTATTATTTTATCTTTCATAGATACTTGATAAGTTCTTCAATAACTCTATAATAAACTATTAATTTACTATCCCCTTCAGGAATGCTTGATAAGTTCTTCAAGAACTTTATAATAATCTATTAATTTGCTATCTTTCAAGGATGCTTAGTAAGTTCTTCCAGAACTATATACCAAACACATTATGTTGCAATCTTTAAGAGATTATTGATAATTTAATAAATTATAGTATAGAAACTTACCACAAGTTATGAAAAATAAAAAGAATAAAATAATAACTGATATTACCTCTGATAGTTAATTCTTCAATTTTTGTACTTTAAAAATTTAGTAGAGTTTCGTGTTGATAACATGTTATATAAAATAAAGGGAAAAAAGAGAGAAAGATGCAAATAGTTATGTATTATTTCATCGGTGGAATTGTATACAATGAGATTGATCATATTTATAGGACATCATATATACAATATAACAAATACAAATTAATTAAATAAGGAATGAAGTTATTGAGAGACAAATCATCCAACTATTCATAACAAATTAAATATATTTGTGGTCTTCTTAAATATATTAAAATTCGTTTTTAGTTTTTTTCGAACTTTGATCCTCTAATTTTTTTTATCTATAATCGAGCTTTGTTCCCCTAAAGTTTTGTCTATATTATTATCCCTCTAGTTAACTTTTTTTTGATAGAGGATGACCTGACACACTATGTGATAAATTTGAAGAATTTCTTTTTTCACCCTATGCTTTTTTAATGCACCACGCAAAATTATAAAAATACTCTTAAAAATCAGAACTATTTTTCTGGTGTGCACCCACACACATAATTCATTCACTTTTTGAGATTCGTTCTATTTTACTATAAAATTATTTCGAGAAATACATTTTCACAAATTCCCAAAAATATATTTTGGGTTAGAAGTTGTTTGTGTCATGTCCACCTGATTATTACTGACTTTCGTCTATAGTGAAACAAATCACTCTTATAGAAACTTAGGTGGTCCACCATATTGATGACCTTATCAATGAATAAAAAACAAATCGAGTTCTTCATGAATTTGTGTTCTTTTTGATTGAAATTGTTTAAATTATTTGAACTATAACCTTGTGACTACTGATTATTGATGAAGCTTCCAAACCTTTTCAATTTTTTTCATGGTTGGTACTTGATTTTGTGTCTTT